GATGCTTTTCCATCTCCAGTGGAAGATACTGGAGAATACACAAGGGAGACACATGCCATATCACTCTTTCACAAACAAGTGCAACAGTTGGTTTGAGGTGGGTGAGAATTGAGTGCCAACGTGACATCCTACCTTGAGTACCACATCTTTCCATAGCTGACATTTGTGAAAACACTTTCAAATGTGATGATGAGCTAGTAGGTGCCTGGCATCTCGTAGGTGGTCAGTACATGGTAGCATCTCTCATGTAGATCCTGCTAAGGAAAGGGACAGAGAAAGGGAACTATAGATCTGTCTTCTCCTTTAATCCCCTCAATAGTGCTTTCAGGAGATGGGATTCTCCCCTTCTCACAGGTGAGGAAACAGAGAAGATAGGTTTCCTGCCGGAAGTCAGCTGGATGGTAGTGAAACTTGACTCTTCTGGTTCCTCGCCATTTCCACCATGCCACGCTAACTTCTCTTAGCTTCAGCTGACAGTTCCTTGCCTTGCCTCCAGACCCTGCCCTCGCTCCCTAGGAGACATGTATAAACATGACCCCCGAATTCAAGTGCATTTGAGCAGAAGTGTGGCACTTTGTGTGGTCTGACTTTGGTTAACAAGTGTATGGCGGCTCAGGCATTTGAGAATGCTAGCAATGGGAGTACCTTCCCCAAAGATGCAAGGTCAGGGGACACTGTGAGACATACTCAGATTTGTTTTGTCATTTTCTTACCCCAATACCACCTTGTTTTCCGTAGGCCCAAGCTCCATCAGCACGCCAGGACCCTGTTCCAATGCAAATTTAGGAAGTCCACACAGGCCTATCCAGCTGAGGCTGCTTCTGCTCAGTTCCTAGGGAGTCTGGGAGCCCCCTTTCCTTCTCCTGCCTCCCGGTTACTCTGTTGCTGATGAAGAGGCAGGGGCAGCTTTGAACAAAGACCCTTCATCATTCCTTTTGTGAAACTGTCCTAGAGATTAGGCGACTGTGAGTGTTCCATCCGTTGTCATTTCTCTAGTAAACTTCAATAAGATCCAACTCTAAAAAAATTAAATTCAACATTTCTATTTCCTGAGAAGGGTATAGGCAAATATGGATAGGCAATTCCAAAAGGTGAGCTTTTCTAACTCTGAAGGGCACATGTAGCAGTTCTGACCAGGCTGGGAGTGAGGAGACCTACATGTTGGTCCCCATTCCCTCCTGCTGCCTGTGTGATCTTGGGCAAGTAGCTTGACCTCTCTGGGCCTGCATGTTTGCTTAGGACTCTTTCAGTGCAAATATGTTATGGTTGTAAACACGGAGAGATTTCTCTGTGTAGTGCTGCATTTCACACATTCACCATGGCCAATGATACTTGATGAGTTTAAATATTTCTCTCGGTTGGAACAGGGACAGCTATTTCAAACAAAGACTTGAGTTTTCTCCAACTGTGGCCCTAAGTTTGTGGGTTTGGTAGGCCAAACCAACTGTAGAGTCCTATGCATTTTACACGGTAAAAACATCTCCCATTTGCTTACAATAAAATCCTGGAAGGGAAGTGGTGTTTCCAAACTCCACTGAGTTGCAGCCTCAGAACTAGAGAGCTGGACCACGTGGTCCAAACTCCTCCGTTTACAAAGAAGGAAGTAACTGAGGACTCCCAGAGAATTTGAGATGGAACGGCAGCTAAAACCTGGTTGCCATGGTCCCCAGTCTAATGCTTGTATTCTTTCTGTACGAATAGAAGCTGATTTGAAGGGCAAAGAATTATAAAAATTATACCATTATCTTCATAACAATATTAGTACATGTAAATACATCCCAAAAGACATTTATTCATATTTTCAGTTGAACACACATCGAAACCCTTCATGTCTTTAAATACCACTACAGACATTCGATTTGCATTTCCTGAAGCCACTCCAGTGAGAAACTCTGAAATAAATGAAAAAACAATGGTCAAGCCTGAATGCACACTGAGGTTTCCATGTGCTCAGCTCAGCAGATTCAGGTATGACCCCTGCAGAGCCTGGACTCTGCACTGGCACTAACATTCTCTACGCTCAGTGACCATTTCACACAATGAATCCATCTGTGTAATTGTGCTTAGCTGTCCTGAGATTAACTCCATGTTTGCATGAAGATCAAAATGCTTACTTTGAAAAGTTTGGTTTTCTTCCATTTCTGTCTTATCTGGGGAGGTATTCACACTTGGAATTTCCTGGGTTTTTCTTGTTTAAATCTCTTGTAGGGATTGAGAATGTGAGGGCAAGAGTAGGGGGTGGGGTGCCTTACCTTGTATTGTTCTCTTTTGGAAACAACAATAGGCAATCACTCATCACTATTTTGATGTCCTCTTGTCAAAGGCAACCAAGAACATTGGGATCTGAATGTGGCTCCCACCCCTAAATCCTATGCTGGTTAGAACATAATCTAGAAATTGCTTTATTTAAAAAATTTCTATTGGATTATAATTTACCTACAGTAAAGAGTACACATTTGAAGTGTACATCTTGATACATTTTTAATATATGCATATACTTCTGCTTTTCTTATACCTTCACTTGGCAGGGAAGTTTCTGTTCTGGGTTTTTCCCAGGACTGCCGCATCTAAGTAGGGTAGAGGTCGATATCTGAAGTGCGGGAAGGGTGGTGGTGTGATTCATGTCCAAAGGACTTACTTTCCTCCTGGCCAGTTTGGCTCAGTGGATGGAATGTTGGCCCTCGGACTGAAGGGTCCTGCGTTTGATTCCAGTCACTGGCACGTATCTCAGTTGCGGGCTTGATCCCCGGCCCTGGTCAGGGCTCATGTGGGAGGCAAACAATTGATGTCTCTCTCTCACCTCTATGTTTCTCTCTCTGTGACTCTCTCCTCCCTTCCACTCTCTAAAAATCAATGGAAAAATATCCTCGGGTGAGGTTTAACAACAACAACAATAACAACAAAAAAGAATTTACTTTCTACCCTTTCACTTCACCTGAACTCTAGGTACAAGTTCTGGGAGAAATTCTGGAAGGCATTCACACTTTCACTCCCATGGGGATCTGCAGGAAAAAAGGAGACATGTGAATGGGGTGGGGTGTTTGCACTTAATCATTACCACTGCTGACATCAATGAAAACCAAGTAATGCGTATCATGCATGGGCCCCTACAATGAGTGGCAAGGAGGCCAGATTCCCAGGAAGTGCTATGAGAAGTTAGGGGATGGACAGATGACCAAACTGAGAGGGGAAGCAGTGCAGCTTACATTTCAGCTGAATTCGGTGTACTCTTGCATTTTGTGGCTGAGGAGTCCAAATCGCCCTGGCTATTTCCAAACGATGTCAGGAGAGGAGTGGCTGCTCTCCAGGACCCCAGCGGGCGCCCAGGACACAGGGCAGCCTTGAGAACAAATACGTCCCTTCCTGAAATAGGAAGCCAGCTATTTACTTATGCAGGTAATGCTATGAAAGGGCTTTACAAGTTGAGTTGCAGCTCCTGAGCTTTGGACTGACCCTGAGATGTGTCTCAAAAGGCTCCTTCCGGAGGAAGGAACGTCCTGAGGCCCTCAGGTCGAGCACTGGCTCCAACAGCAATGTAAATCAAGGAGAACCTCCAAGCTGACCCAGCCCAGGCAAACACTCTTAAGACGGCTTCGGTACAAAGATGACAATATTATCATTCCAACCTGAACAGGCATCACAGCCTGGTTTCAACATTCATTTTGTGAAGTTTTAAAATAAAATTCATTTTAAATCCTATGATTCCTCATCTTGATCACTTTCTTGCATACTGTCAACTCTCCCTCTTCACTTCATCATATTCCTTTGGCAAAACCGCAACCGGGTTAGATCTAACTTTCCACTTACTTGGTGCCTGACCCTGTGTAGCTGCATAAGGTTGGAGAAAAACGCACAACCATGCTGGTGGCTCACACTTTAAATTCAAAACCTCAACACTAGCCTGTGGATTGAAGGGTCCCAGGTTCGATTCCGGTCAAGGGCACATGCCCGGGTTGCGGGCTCAATCCCCAGTAGGGGGCGTGCAGGAGGCAGTCGACTAATGATTCTCTCTCATCATTGATGTTTCTATCTCTCTCTCCCTCTCTGAAATCAATAAAAAAATATTTTAAATTCAAAGCCTCAGACCTCACGCAGCTCTTTAATGCTACCAGGCGGTCATACCAGGCATCTCTTGTCAATATATATGGGCATATCCCACTCGATCAGTATTTGTTGAATGAATGGATCAAATAAGTGAATTTTAATTACGGCTCCATTGATGTTTGCCCAAGTTTGAAAATGAATTTTATCTTTAAAACTTTTTTTTGTTGAGATGTGCACTGGCTTTGGACCCAGAGACTCGTATCCAAGTCCCAGCACAGCTGCTTACCAGCTGGGCCATCCTGAGTGAGTCACACTTCCTCTCTGGGACTTCTTGTCTCCTATTAAATGAGGCGGCAGTGCCAGGTACACTGGTGGATGGAGAGTCTCTCCTGGACGTTGGTTGAATGAATCATACGAGTCCCTCCCTTCTCCTGAAGTTCACAGATCTGTGATTTATTTTGTGTGTGTGTATGATTCTTTCTTGAGCCAAGCAAGCCCCCAGCTAGGAGTCAATTAGGAGAGAGAAAAATGAGGTTGGACTTGAAGAGAAACACCTGCAGGAGAACCCCTTCTCTTCTTCATTGGTCTCTGATTTTACTTTCTGGTTCCAAAGTAGGCAAAGCTCTCACGCTAAAAGCCCAACGGTGACTTTGATTCTGAGCAAACTTCAGGTGGAGTGTAAGGGAGAGGTGGCATTGAACTGGGATTGGGGGACCTAGCGTCTAACCCTCCCTTCTCTCAGGCCTCCGTTTCTTCATCTGTATAAAGAGTGAGTTCAAGGTCACTAAGCCTTTACCTGGCTTCCACCACTTCCCAGCACTGGTGGCCTCTTTTTTTTGTTGCCATTTGGAACAAGCCTGGCCTGTTTTGGATCAGAACTGGCGCAGCATCAGCAAGTTTATGGTTTTACAAGCCCTGGAACATGCTTTGCAAATAAATGACAAAGGCATGAGGAATACTGCATGGAAACAAAGGTGAGACTGTGGAATTGTACAAGGGAAGGAGAGATGCTGGCGATGAAACACCTGTCCTTGAGTTTGAAACCAGCTGGGCAAGCGACCACAGCCTGTGGGAGACCCACAGGCGCTAGGCATATTGCATGGCACTTGCCCCCAGTGTGTGGTATGGTAGGCAGTTTGGGGGCTGCCTAGGCAAATCATTTATAAAATGTCTAATCAGAAAATAATTTTCAATTACCTTTCAATCTTTCTGATTCATTTAAGGAGTCTTGCTGTGCTGGAATTTGTTAATCTCACAACTTTGGTAATCTGTCCCTTCCTCCCGGACAACAGTCTCCCAGCCCCCACTTTTTATTAAACAGAGAGGAAATAGGGTTTAACTCAGGAGCATCACCTGTCTAGAATTGGATAATATTGATTTGCTTTACTGCATTTATTTTTTTGTGGTTACTTTCCACTGACGAAAAGTGTTCTTACTTTTTCCACTTAGAGTAGTTAAAACGTTACCTTAAAATATATGTACTTAAGTTTAAAAAACTGAGTTAGTTTCTATACAAATATTAAGTAATAGTGTACGTTCTACACAGATGTGACAACACAGGGCACATGGTTCCTGGGGTTTGGGAAGCACTGGTGGGTGGATTCCCCAACACAAACTGGCATTGTTCAGAGAGGGGAGGTTTCTCTGGGCACCGCAATAGTGCCTGTAACGCTATTTAGATCTACTGGTAACTCGGTTTCCAATCTTTTTTTTTCTTTTTAAAACAAATGATTACCTTTTCCTGATCATGACTGTATAAAACTTGGAAATACAGAAAGACATATAGGACAAGAGGAGAAAATATAGAAAAATATATAGAATAGAAAGAAAAATCACTCATTGCTTCTCTACTAATAAATAACCACTCCTAATACATTGCTAAATTTTTCTTCCTCAGCGCACCAACATAGCTATTATTACAATGTGTATTTTTATTCTTAAGTCCATTTTATTTCCTTAACATTACAGCCTAAGCATGTCCCCATATCACTCAAACTCTTCATAAACGTTATTTTAAACAGCAGTAAGGTACTTAAGAGAGAAGCCCCATTGGGGATTGAACCATTCCCTGTTAGACATCGGTTGTTCCCAGTCTTGTCCTTTAAAATGTTGTGATGACTATCCTCATGCACATAGCTTTGTCTGCACGTTGCATAGTTTCCTTACTATAATTCCAGAATGGCATTCCTAGGTGGAAAGATTTTTAAGGCTTTTGGGATACCACTGCCAGATTTTTTTCCAAAGGATCAGACCAAGAGGAGCTAAGATCTGAACCCGAGTGATGGGACCCACTCTGGTTTGTGTGTGCAAGGTGGGGCTGTTCCACCACTTTGGGCAAGTCACCCCACTTCATGGCTTCCTGCTCGTGCAGGTGTGACAGTCACTGCCCAGTAATCCAAGAGAGAGTGTTCTCTTATCTAGGCTCGCCAGGGCCACATTTCAGCTTCCAAAGTACACACTTCTTTAATTCCACCTTATGTGATCCTCCTTTCATGGAAAGGGATCGACAGTAGTTTTCTGGAAAATTTCTTGTCCCGACAGTCTAAAATGCTTTTTTGCAGCTGAGCTAGGAAAGGTTTGAATAAACAGTGCTGACTTTAGGGAAGAAGTGCAAAAGGCACTCGTGCTGGGTGTCCACGGCGCACGTGCTAGGAGCTGTGGGGGCAGTCGTGTGTTTAGCATCTCATGTAATCCTCTCAAACAGCCTACACAGCGAGTTACACAGAGCACGCGCCACAGGGTGATAGCATGTGTTCCTTGCGAAAAGAATTCTGTTGCTCGGAAAAGGTTGTGTTAATCAAAGTTAAAGGGATTCTTCTACAGCTTTCTGTTTGCCTAGTCTAATGTTATTCGAAAATCCCCAAGGTGGGGAGGTGACATTCAGCATCTGCCAAACTCACTTGACAATGAAACCCTTTCTCACACATCTCATGGGATTGATGTTCCAAAGAACACACTTTGACGGGACGCAGGACAGGTTAAGGAAGGCTTCCTGGAGGAGGTAGCACCTGAGCTGTGCAGTGGCTGCGTCCTTACACACACACACACACACACACACGCACGCACGCACGCACGCACGCACGCACAGGCACGCACACTGCAGTTTGCCCAGGGAAACAACAGCAATCACTTCTTTGCAGAACCCCAGAAATAAGCACAATCAGCAGCTCATGATTTATTTTAAAAAGTCAGATAAAACTAAAGGTCATTTGTGAGCTCCTCAAGGCCAGGGCCAGGGCCAGTATACTATTCTCAACGTGTAGTTGCCTGACACAGTGTAGGTGGTATTTGTTGTGTTTTGTGTGAAGGATGATGAATGAAGGCATGAAGGCATGAAGAGTGAAAGTTTGCTGGTCTATGTAGGGGCGGGCAGTCCTACCAACTACCCACTATTCTCTCCCGAGTCCCAACAGAAACCCTGGGAGCAGCCAGCAGGCCCTGCTCCCCACCCCTACCTGGACCAGTGAGTTTCACACGCCCTTCCATACCGCGGTGACATCGAATTGTATTTCCCTATCTCAGAGGCCTATGAATTTCACTTCTCTAGCTGTGCCCTGGGTGCCAGCATGTGTTGGCAGAAAAGAGTGGACCTGGTGGGACAGTCCTGCTGTAGCTCCAGGCAAGTGCAATAACCCAAAGATAAGTCATACGAATTCACATTCAAAGGGCGCAAGTGGGATGAAACGTCGTGTGTCCCTTCCGTAGCCATGAACCTCCAGGCTTGGGAAGGTAATGCCCTCCTCTTGGAAAAGCTACAAAGAGCACGGCACGTCAGCAGTTGGCAAAGAGCATAAACTATAAAAGGTCCCTCTGGGCGGGGCCCAGGCTACATGTCCTCTGCCTGCTGAGCTTTCCTCTCCTTCCCCTCCCAGCATGAGTCATGCTATTTCTGGGGGTACCCGTTGGAGGCTTTAGGGGTTGACTGCTTGTGCTGGAGGCTTCCATGGAGTATCTGCCCTTTGAGTAACTGGCTCCTCTCTGCTGCTCTGCCCATGCTGAGGCCACTTTACCTCCTGTAAATAAAAAGAGCACTGTAAAGGGAGTCCACTCTGCTGTTAGCATGTGACTGTGGTTGACTCACTCCCCCTCTAGGACTCTTGGTTTCCCTTGAGGCAGTGGTTCTCAACCTTCCTAATGCCGCGGCCCTTTAATACAGTTCCTCATGTTGTGGTGACCCCTAACCATAAAATTATTTTTATTGCTACTTCATAGCTGTAATTTTGCTACTGTTATGAATCGTAATGTAAATATCTGATATGCAGGATGTATTTTCATTGTTCGCGGCCCACATGTTGAGAACCGCTGCCTTGAGGTAAAGGGGTGGGGTGGGGTGGACTGGATGATCCTGAAGGCTGCTGTCAGCTCCGATGTCACAGTTATCCCACCTGAGAGCAAGGCTTGTGTGAAATCTTCCCCTTGGGCCCTCAATTATCAGGAAACCCATAGTTGGGAAAACCAGAGTCAAACACAGCAGCAACAACAAACAAACAGGAAAAGAACTCCTCTTTGTATTTTGACTTCTATATCTGGCCTCGACAGACTGATGATAGCACCAGGATAGAGGGAAGAGCACTGGAGAAAGGAGTCCAAGACCTGAACTCAATTCCTGCTCTGCCCTTGACCAGCAGTGTCACCTAGAACAAGTCATTATTTCCTTATAGGCCTCATTTTGCTCATCTATAAAATGGGGATATTTAATACCTTCACAATTCATTCAACATACACTTGTTGAGAGCCTGCTGAATGTCTGGCCAGTGCTAGATGGGGGAGATAGGAAGGTTAATAAGACTCGATGCTAACTCTCATGGTCTGTTAGGGAGACAGCCCTGTAAACAGGCAGTTGTAATACAGTGTGGTGAGTTGATAAAATAAGGATCATAATAAAAATAATGATAATAGCATTTTATTAATTGAAATTTTTCTCCTATAAAATTTTCTTAACTAGTTGATGCCTAAAGTTACTCTGATGCATTAGAATCTAACATGAGACGGTATCAGATTTAGTCCTGATTACGTATTTAACTATCTTAAGCTTAATACCTGGCCATTTCAGCATGCACACGTTCTCAAAAGGATGAAAACTACAACAGTTAGGGTCTCTGTTTTTCACAAGTTCTCCAACTCAAGACCCACTGTTCCCTGTTCTAAAGTAGTGGGTCTCAAACTTTGCTGTAATTACAAGCACTTGTGCAGATTTTAGATGTCTCAATGGCAAGACTGCATCCCAGGCCACTAAACTCAGAATCTGCATTTTTTTTAAAGTTGCACAGGTAATTACAACGCACAGTCAGGTTTGAGAACCAATGTTATAATGAATGAAACCTGATATCCAGGTGCCACAGCTCCTGAGGCTGAGAAACAGCATAGGTAAAAACCCGAGTCTGAATATGTGGTGTTCTCTGTCTCCATCTGCTGGCTATGCTCTATATTGCTATAATTTACCTACACAATTGGGGTATCCCAGATGTGCTGCAAGAAGGTTTGTTTGCCAGAAGAATACAAGAGAACCAAAAGGAGATTAAATTTGTAAGTAATACAAATAACTACAAAATATATCAATGTATTCAATAGGATAGTTTCAGAGGAATAAGCACATTAGGATAATGCAACTAGAATCTTTTCTATGCTTGGTAAATAAAAAGCAGCCAATGATATCCATAAAATGGAATATTATTTAGTAATCAAAGAGTACATGCTTAAATGTTTAGAAAAAGCAAGTTTATAAAGAGAAAATTCAAATCAGTGGTTGCCTAGGGCTGGAGGTAGAAGCAGGGTGAACTGTAAATGGGCAGAGGAACTTTTAGGGGTAATGGAAATATCTAAAACTGAAATATGGCAATGGTTGCCCTGC